CTCTCTCTCTCTCTCTCTCTCTCTCTCTCTCTCTCTCTCTCTCTCTCTCTCTCTCTCTCTCTCTCTCTCTCTCTCTCTCTCTCTCTCTCTCTCAGCACTGGGTGGGGTTTTTCAGAGAAGTTGTAAAAGAAATCTGTGCTCCTAGATTAATTTAATTATATGCAAACCTTCCACAAGACTACATCTATAGATCAGCAGCCACACGTCGCTTCACTGCTAACACATACAGATGAGATTAGCTCCTAACTGATTGTCCAAACACATTAGATTAAGTGCCCTGATGTAGTGTCTTTGAAATATTTTTAGTAATTGACTGGTGAATAATTTTTAATAAAAATAAATAAATAAATAAAAAACATAAAACACACAAATAGAGCTTTCTTTTAGCAATTAAATTTTTTTTTTTTTTTACTTGAGATACTTTTTGGGTTTGGCTGACAGGTACAACCAACCTTTTCAAAGTGCTTTTATACATGCGTTTCTGTGTAAACACTCTAAATCATCCACAATGTATAGGTAGGGGTGTGCCGGTTTCAGAATTGGTGATGACGGTTATGACGTGAGTCTAATGTGACGGTTCAACAAGCAGACACTGATTAGCTACTGGCTCTACGTTTATTTAACATGAACAGCAAGACAACTAGAAGTGAATGTGCTTTCCATTAAATGTATCACACAGTAAACAAATCCTTAACTAACAAAACAAACAAACGTTGCAATGAACGTGCTTTTTTTTTTTAATAAGTCACACACAGTAACAAAACCTTAACGAAAAAACTTTGGAATGAACTTTGCAATTTAGACGCGCAAACTGCGTGCCGGTGCGGTGAGACGTGCATGCTCGGGCAGATTCGGCTTGAAGTCTATGATTCGGACGCGGCGCCGCGCGCGCTGTTACAAAAAAAAAGCCGTGCACACAGCCAAGCCAAATGGGGTCTTGCGCACCGAACGCGTCATTTTTGCCGCGCGCACCTTCGCGATCGTGCGGACGCGTCGAGTATAAACAAGGATTCGGATATACAGATTCGGCTTGAAGTCGGCGGCGCCGCGCGCGCTGTTACAAAAAAGTCGTGCACACAGCCAAGCCAAATGGGGTCGCCGGTCTTGCGCACCGAACGCGTCATTTTTGCCGCGCGCACCTTCGCGATCGTGCGGACACAAGGCTCAGCGCGCGCTCTGATCGGTAAAGGTGCACAGACCTCTCCCGAATCATCTCCAGCAGTAGCAGCCTCCGTTTCCCTCTTAAGCTGATATTAGTATTTAAACATTCTCTATGATAAAAAATGTTTGTAAAAAATATTTTAATAGCACGGTTTTGGCGGTTATAGAGTTCTAATGACGGTGTTCAACTATAACCGTCGGTCTCACGGTTATATAATAACCGTCACACCCCTATGTATAGGTGTGTGAATGCAAATACCAGCTACACTTGCTTGATTTTCAAAATCGCATACAGTCAAAATACTACATTTGAGGAAGAACTTAGTTCTCGATATCTGCCATTTTGGCATTGCAATGTAAATTGTGTTGCTTCCACGCAAGTCCTTTCCCAAGGCCTCATGGGATAGTAAAGTTTCCTTTGTATGCGTACTTTAAAATATTGCACAATTTATAGGTCATCCAGGTACGTTTTGACTACTTTTTTATGAAGACATACTACTCTCCTAATAGCCTAATGTGTTTTTTTTTTTTTTTTGCCTGCTAAATAGTAAGAAAGATGACATGTTTGGGTGTGAAGACTGCCCGGCACTATTCTGATGTGTAACAATCACTTTTCATTACCCAAGCAGTTCCTTTCCAGTACAATAAGCCAACTAAAATACTGCATACATGTATGTGTGAGTAACATTTATGAAATTGTATTTTAAATTCCATTATTATTATTATTTTTTACCATGTCTGCTTGATGAAGAAATTAAATATCCCCATGGTCATCCTCATAATCCACTCTCAAATTCCCCCTATTGTCTTACTTCAGTCTGTACTACCATCTGGCTATTTTCACCCTTTATAGACATATCAACCGTATGGTCACGCATATTGGAAAAGTATGGGAAACTGGTGTTTCTGTATTTCTCTTATATTTTACTATATTTGTATTGTTTAGACTCCACCCTACTAACTACAACATTATGATTTGATTTCCTACTTAACTGATATCTTGTTTGACCCGATTATGTGATGACCGATCAGCAACTTTATTATTCTGTGTGACCGACTGAAGTGTGTCACCTGAAAACTTAAGTCCTATCCCTCCATGCCAAATGCAGACAGGGTGTGGGGCTTCTTTTGACAGATTTTTTTCACACTCACAGTAAGGTAAGGTCTACTGTGAGAAATCAGTTCAACTTTATGTAAAAACTTTTGGCAGTCCAGTCAAATAATGAAACATATTTATAAATGATTAAAATGCTACAAAAAGTATAATTTTCTCTTTCTCACAAGGCTGCATTTTATTTTTTAAATTTATTTAAAATGATGATTGCAATTTTAAAACAACTGTTTAAACTTTAAACAACTTTAAAACAACTGTATTTTAATATATTCTAAAATGTCATTTATTCCTGTGGCAAAGCTGATTTTTTTCCAGACTTCAGTGTCATATGATCCATCAGAAATGTTTAATGCTGATTTGGTGCTCATGAAAAGATAACTTGTTATCGCCCAAACGGTTGTGCTGCTTAATATTTTTGTGAAACCATGATACCTTTATAATAAATACACAGAAATATTTAATTAATATAGATTTGAAATTTATAAATGTCTTTATTTATTCTCTCATCCTTAATGCGTACTTACTGAAAAAAAGTATTCATGTATTTAAAAAAATCTTACTGGCCTCAAACTTTTGAACGGTAGTGTACTTTGTGTAATATAATAAATGCAAGTATACAGTTGTAATCAAATTATTCAACCCCCATTGCAAATCTGGTTTATTGGCACAATGTACAGACTTTCAGCTGTTTGCAATGAACAAATCAAACAAATGTAATTGAAATAACTCAACACAACAATGGTTTCCGCAAATTCAACTGAAAATGCAGCTTTTAATGACTTCTGCAGTCTCAAAATTATTCAACCCCCTGAATAGAATCCCTGAGAACAGCACAAATCTGCAAAACAGGTGTTGTTTCAACCACACCTGATGCAACTAATCATTGAAATATCTGAACTGACTAAGATTGTTGAGTCATGTTTGACTGCACGTTAGACATATGGCTGAGTAAAAAGAATGGTCCAACAATTTAAGAGAAGATATCGCCCTTCACAAACAAGAAACCGGATACAAAAAGATAGTGAAGGCACTAAATGTTCCTAGAAACACCGTTGGAAGCATAGTTCGCAAGTTCAAAGTTAAAGGAACAGTGGTTACATTACCTGGACGGGGCAGAAAAAGGAAGCTATCAATGGCTGCAACCAGATTTCTGAGAAGGCAGGTTCAGAAAAACCCTCGAGTGACTGCAAAAGACCTGCTGCAAGGTTTCAGCTTGTAAGGCACGTACTAAACGCATGTCAGAACTCCATGACGTACACCACTACTGACCTTAAAGGGATAGTTCACCCAAAAATTACCCCATGATTTACTCACCCTCAAGTCATGGGTGTATATTACATTCTTCTTTCAGACGAATACAACCGGAGTTATATTAAAAATGTCCTGACTCTTTATAATGGAGGTGAATTGCCATTTCTGTTTTGAAGTCCATCAAAGAGCATCCATCCATGATAAAAGTCCTCCACGCGGCTCCGGGGGGTTAATAAAGGCCTTCTGAAGCGAAGCGATGTGTTTGTGTAAGAAAAATATCCATATTTAAAACTTTATCGACTGAAATAACTAGCTTCCGGCAGATGGCCGTACGTATCGATTTATGGCGAAAGAGTAACACTTGACCCGACGCACAACGCAATGACGAACGCGGAAGCGCAGAGGATAGAGCAAAACAAAAAAACAGACATGAATTAGAAGTTTAAAACTAGCATTTTTAAAGAGAAATGTGGGAGGAACTTGAGTTTGTTGCCCAGCCCTGTTTGAACCCCCGAGAGGCGTCTTAGCTTACGCTAATCCTACATCCTACGCCACACATCGTCAATGTTACTCTTTTGGCATAAGTCGACTTGCGTGGGCCGTCTGCCGGAAGCTAGTTATTTTAGTCAATAAAGTTTTAAATATTGATATTTTTCTTAAGCGAACATGGTGTCTGTCTGGTTATACATCTCGTTTACAGCAGGGTGTTCTAAAGTACTAAAGTTGCTTGCCATGGAAGGGGTTGAATAATGTTGACACTGCTGAAGTCATTAAAAGTTGCCTTTTAAGTTTAATTTGAGGGAACCACTTCAAACATTTGTTGTGTTGAGCTATTTCACTCACTTTTGTTTGATTTGTTCATTGCAAACAGCTGAAAGTCTGTAAATTTTGCCAATAAACCTGATTTGCAATGGGGGTTGAATAATTTCGATTACAACTGTATCCTATGGTAATATGCAATTCCAGTCATATGCAGCCATCAGTTTCTGTGGCTTGTGCATTAAACTCCACTAATGTCTCGCTCTGTGGCTTTTGAGGTTTTGGTTTCAGTCATTACATTCATTTCTAAACCGCACCGTCCCTCAGGACCATCCACCCATTCCAAGCACTTCCCATTTATCTGACTTACTTTTAAACCATTATGTCTGTTTCTCTGCAATTTTGCTTATTATTGGCTCTATGTTCATCGTTGACGTGCAGTATTGGGATGGCTGCCGCTGTGACTTGGTTACTATGGTGTCAGTTTAATTAAGTTGCAGTTGAATTAACAATTAGTTGTATGTAATAAATGTTCTAAACCATGTCATTGTTTCCCAGTGATCTTCATTAGTAGTCATGTCAATGTTGTTCATATCATTAAGAGAATTACGTTATTCTGCTCTCTGTACAAGGAGTACTAATGTTGTTGGTAAAACTTTATGAATTATACTGAATGCCACCTAATTGTTTTTTTTATTTCCATTTGTGTGTTTAGGACCCCAGCATCCCACCCAGCCTCGTCACCCTCAAAGTTGACCCAGATGGATTCTTCCTCCACTGGTCTGGAGGGACCAACATGGTCAGTAATTTTCCCTTTTTTTTGCGTGTACTTGCTAATACCAGTCCTGTCATGCCACACAGTTACACAGAGTTTTGCAGAAATTCTCCTAAAATATGGCAAAATCCTGTTGTCAGGTTTCTTATTATAGGGACACAAGGTACTTTTTTATTTATTTTTTCATCCCCACAAAATCTTCACTATAAAACCTAATAAATGTCCTTACTCAATTTGCCTAAAATTGTAAAAATCTAGTAATCTGTACTTTTTGCGTACTATGCCTTTGTGACTCAGAAAAAACTAGTTTTGTATTTATATTAGGCAGAACTTAAATTGAATGAGTTACAGCAGATTTCTAATTCCAAGCATGCTTTGCTTCAGACTAGGGGTAAATGTTGAAATGAAGTGTAATTTTATGTTTTTGCACAAGATTAATATAGGGGGAGATTTGTGTTTAATGTTCTGTTTGGTTTTAAAAAGGTTATTATTAGGGATGCACTGATTTTGCCCGATACCTATAACCAATTATTCTTTTTTGAAAATTTGAAAGCCGATATTCGATATATTGGCTGATAAATCTAAATGCAAATGTTTATATAATTGAGAGCCTGATTACAAAAACAAAGGTCTCAACATGTGTCCCAAGCACACATTTATAATGTTCTCATTATAATTTTAATGTTGCCCATATGACAGACTTGCACTGCACGTTGCACTTAACTGTATTTTCTTTTTCGACGTGATTCCAATCATATTTCAAGCTATTCAAAACCATCATGGTGAACCGTGCACAGCTGAAGGAACTAATCCATTATTTATCGGCTTTAATATGTCGGCCAAATTTTCTTATTTCTTATGTATATTTCTTTACCTATTTATTACTTTGTATCACCTCCAACTGTGCAATATGTTACCTTTATCCATTCGCATATTTATTTGTATATTTGTGTTTATAGACTGTTTTTTTTTTACCTAAGGTTGGTTATTGTGTGAATACAGTTGGTTTATCATTATTATTATTATTATTATTGAAAATAATTTTACTCTATCCTATTCTATTTTCCATTCCCTATATTTTTGTGTTTTACTTTTATATTTTTAAGCTGCTGTAACACAGGAATTTCTCCAGTGTGGGATTAATAAAGTTATCCTTATGCTTAACGATAACATTAAAAATGAACATATCAACGATACCGATATGGTGGCCTATATATCGTGCATCCCAAGTTTCTGTTGTGTCTGCATTTTGGAGAGGTTACTATTGTGCTGAAGAGTAGAGCCTGTGGTCTACAACTGTTAAAAAAAGAAAATTCTGTCATCTTTGGCCTTGTGTGTACACTGTAAAGTTTCAGGAGTGACAACCATATTTAAATGCAGGAGTGAAACCCCTAACTTATAGTTCTATGTGTGTACAGAACGCGACTCCTGCTATGATTGACACCATGGTAATCATAGCAACGTTCTCATATCTGCTATTCTGACCAAAGTAATATTACAGTGACAAAACACTCCTTGTGTTCAGCAATTTTAACTAAAGCACAGTTGATTGAGGTGCTTTGTTTTGTTTATGCTTAAAGGCTGCTTCACAGAACGCGTTCTTGCAGTGTTGATAATGTCTACTAATACAGCGATAACGCTCATACAGCGATCAAATTATTAAAGTGATTTATTAAAGTGAGCAGGTGCGGGTCGCGTATTCAGATATTTTAGTCTTTTTTTCAGCATTAAGCATTTCCATTTATTCTGTTGTTTTTTACTGGCTTTTTTTTGTTCGCCAGTAGAATATCGATAGGTGTCGGCGTGACCTTGGCTGAAGTAAAATAACTATTTTTGTAGTAAAGTTGAGTAGATATGTATATTTTTACATTTTAAATGTATTACTATTTGTTTTATTAAAAAAGAGGCCATGGAGTGTGACGTTATATCAAACTAGACTTTGAGCTCACAAAATTTCTATGGACACTGTAATCATTACGTGATTTTGTAATGAATTCATCAAGCGCTCTATTGAATGGAGAAAAAGAGTACTCTTGAAAAACGAACACCAGGCATGGGCGTAGAGTACGGAGGGGACGTGTAAATTCACCCCCCACACTTCGGGCAAGTGTCCATGTAGAGGTTTTTTATGGGCCAATGTCAATAAATCTAGATTTAAATTCAAAGAGACAAGATATTCTGTGCATGACCTGATGTTTTATTCTTATCCAAAGCTGGGCAATGTAAGCATTATGGAGCTCTGAACACTGTTATGTAACGTATGTTTCATTCATACTCAAAGCCGGATAACCCACCGGCAGAAACCTAAAACGACACCTATGTCCAAGGGGGATGGAGTTTAGCGCACAAATAAAATGATCACTGAAGTGTATAGTTAAGTCAGGTTTTCAGGTATTATGTGTCTTTCAATCATACTCATGATTTGGGATTGCTCCTGTCTGCCTTGCTGCTGATCGATTGCTCCTGTCTGTCTTGCTGCTGGTTTGCGTCTGTAAACTCCGTATAGCTTTCTGTTTTGAATCTCTATTTACTATCATTGCTTTTTGTTTATATTGCTAAAAATAACTTGCTCATCAAAATATATTAGATATAGTCTAATATTGCCTATCACATTAATCTGTCATTGCTAGCTTTTATCTAAATCATTAGTATCTCGGTAGCCTGTTAACCTGCCATCCGTGCTTGCTGTTTTTTTTTTTAGTCTATCAAACAACTGTGGATCAGTCAAACACAGTGAGTAATGTCTTCTCCTGTTATTGTCACTTGCGCTTTGTGTCACATGTACAGTATAGCCTTATCTGTCAGCACAGAGGGCGTCACAAACATGTGATAAATGCAGGGAGATAGTCAGGCTGACGGAGAAGATTCCAGAACTAGAGACACGCATCCAAACTTTATTCGAGGATAGTAAGAATGCAAGGGATTTAGATACTGCTTTGGATACGACTAGCTTAGTGAACTCTGTACATTTTTCAGTTCCGGCTGTAGAGCCCGTGCAGCAGGGCAACTGGGTGACCGTGAGACGCTGTAGTCGCGGGACAAAACACCGCTCTTCCGTTCTGATTACCATAACAAATAGATTCTCCCCACTCAGTGAAACACCCACTGAGAATCCTGTTGAAAGTGCCCTAGTTATTGGCGATTCTATTACACGGAACGTGAAAATAGAGACAATAGCAACCATAGTCACATGTTTGCCGGGAGCCAGAGCGCCTGACATCAAAGCAAATTTAAAAGTGCTGGCTAATTCTAATCGTAAATTCTCTAAGATTATTATTTGTTAGTTAGTTTCGCCTACTACCCCTCCTGGGGCATAGGCCGCCAACAAGGGATCTCCAGGCATCTCTGTCCTGGGCCATTTTTTCCAGCTGACTCCAGGTCTTTCCCATGCTCTTTGTGTCTGCCTCCAAGTCTCGGCGCCAGGTATTTCTCGGTCGACCTCTGTTTCGCTTTCCTTGCGGATTCCATTTTAAGGCTTGTCTGGTGGTGTTTGTCGCTGGCTTACGTAAGGTGTGTCCAATCCATCCCCAACGTCGCTTCTTGATTTCCTCTTCTGCGGGTAGCTGGTTTGTTTTTTGCCAGAGTTCGCTATTGCTGATGGTCACTGGCCAGTGGATGCGGAGTATCTTTCGCAGGCAGCTATTGATGAACACCTGTACTTTCTTGGTGATGGTTACCATGGTCCTCCATGTTTCTGCTCCATAGAGGAGAACTGCCTTGACATTTGAATTAAAAAGTTTTATTTTGGTCTTGACGGACAGTTCCTTGGAGCTCCAGATGTTCCGGAGTTGTATGAATGCTGCACGCGCCTTTCCGATACGAGCCTTAACATCCACGTCAGTGCCCCCCTGTTTGTTGATGACACTGCCTAGGTAGATAAAGGCCTCGACCTCTTCCAGGGCTTCTCCATCAAGTGTAACTGGGGTGTTGCTGTTCTTTTAGACAGCAAAGATTATTATTTACGTCGGCATTAACGATGTTCGACTTCGCCAGTCGGAGATCACTAAAATTAACGTTAAAGAGGTGTGTGAACTCGCAAGTATGATGTCAGACACTGTAATTTGCTCTGGCCCCCTTCCTGTTCGCCGGAGTGAAGACATACTTAGTTGACTGTCCTCACTTAATGGTTGGCTGTCTAAGTGGTGTCCGCAAAATAATATAGAATTCATAGACAATTAGAAAAGTTTTTGGGGCAGACCTGACCTGTTGAAAAGAGATGGTATTCATCCCCGTTGGGATGGTGCTACTCTTATCTCTAGTAATATGGCACATAGTCTTAGAGCTCAAACATGAATTGGGGCTCAGGTCAGGAAGCAGACAGACGGGTTAAAAACCGACCATCTGCTAGCTGACTCACGTCATTGAGGTCAGATAAATCCCATCACATAGAAACTCTTTCACCTAGATATCATCATATAGAGACTGTGTCTGTTCCCCGAATTAGGAAATACAAAAAACTCCCAAAAATGTAATTGATGTTCAACAAATAAAAAATGGATATAATACAAATTAACAAATGATAAAGCTCGGGTTGCTAAATATTCAATCCCTTACTTCAAAAGCACTTATTGTTAATGATTATAACCTAGATGTGCTGTTTTTGGCAGAAACCTGGCTAAAACCAGACGATTATATTACTTTATATGAGTCCACCCCCCAAGATTATTGTTATAAACAAGAGCCTCGTCTGAAAGGCAAAGGGGGAGGTGTTGCTGTAATTTATAGTATTATCTTCAAAAGAATTATATTTGAAACAAGACTTCTCATTAATTCCGAAGTGTTGGTGCTTAATGTAACACTATCTAATGTAAATGATAAATCACGTTTGAGATTTGTGCTGGCTACTGTATACAGGCCACCATACAGACTTTATCAAAGAATTTGCTAACTTTCTATCAGAGTTAGTACTGGCTGCAGATAAAGTCCTAATTGTTGGTGATTTTAATATACATGTAGATAACGAAAAATATGCATTAGGATTGGCATTTAAAGACATTCTGAACTCTATTGGAGTTAGACAACAC